AATAATAATAATAATAATAATAATAATAATAATAATAATAATAATAAGCCCCGGGATATTTTCCGGAGGGGGGGGGAAGGAGGCAAGGAAGGGGGGGGGGAACGGCACTAGAATGGGTGCAGATGGAGTGGGAGAAAAAAAGAAAGTGCCTCTGAGCATATGCAGAAGGTGGCCTAGAGGGAATAATAGGACATAGATGGCAAGGTTTATAGTTCGGATATAAGGAGGAACCACATCTAGGGTGCAGGCAATGAATTCTAAAAAGCAGGGCTCTCCGAATTTGGCAACTGTGAATATTTGTGGACTTCAACGCCCAGAATTCCCCAGCTAGCCATGTGCTGGCTGGGGAATTCTGGGAGTCAAAGTCCACCAGGCTTAAAAGTTTTGTCAAGTTTGGAGAGCCGTGATCTGAGGCGGTGTTTTTTCTCAAGTTGGTTGAGTTTTAAGATGCGTGGACTTCCAACTCCCAGAATTCCCCAGCTGGCACGTTGGCAAGAAGGGAACGGAGTGCTCTGGAGAAGGGCGTAGTTGGTTGGCTGGCAGAATAATCAGCTCTTTGAGTCAATTGGCCCTTCACTGGGAGACGTCTGCAATTCTGTGTAATGATATCTGGAGCACATGAAGTCTGGAATCTGGGGTGGAAGGGGGGGAAGAGTGAGTGGCTATGGCAGCCATCTTCTATATTCCTTTTGCTTTGAAGGTTCTTGTTACCATGGCAACCCCACTCCCCCTGTGAAACCGATTCTCCCGGAAAAAGGGAGGTGCATCCTGACGGGTGCTGAGTCCCAGATTTGAACATCATCGTTATTGATTCAGAACTGTTCGGATTACAAGCGGTCCTGGACTTAACAACCACAATTGAGCATCTGCATTTCTGTTGCTAAGCAAGACAGGGATTTAAGGGGCTTTGTGGCCTCCAAATATTCAATGTGATGTAGCAGGCCTTGGTTTAGTACATTTCACATTTTGTCCCTTAAACAAGGTTTCGCTACAGGCCTGTCCAACCTTGATAACTTTTAAGGCTTATGGACTTCAATTCCCAGAATTCCCTAGCCAGCCAGTGCTGGGAGTTGAAGTCCACAAGTCTTAAAGTTGCCTCCTGTTCTACTGCGGAAAGAACATATTTATTATTTATTTATTATTTATTTATTTGATTAGTCAATCACTTGATGAATTATCTTTTCTGTATACTGAGAGCATTTGCACCAAGACAAATTCCTTGTGTGTCCAATCACACTTGGCCAATAAATAATTCTATTCTATTCTATTCTGTTCTGTTCTGTTCTGTTCTGTTCTGTTCTCTGTTCTCTGTTCTGTTCTGTTCTGTTCTGTAATTCTATTCTATTCTATTCTATTCTCCAATATTTATTCTGTTCTGTTCTGCTCTGTTCTGTTCTATTCTATATTCTATATGCTATTCTATTCTTCATCCAATATTTATTCTATTCTATTCTATTCTATTTTACTATTTTCTACTATTCTATTCTATATTCTGTTCTATTCTATATTGTATTCTATCTATTCTATATTCTATTCTATCTATTCTATATTCCATTCTATATTCTATTCTATTCTTCATCCAATATTTATTCTATTCTGTTCTGTTCTGTTCTCTATTCTATTCTATTCCATTCCATTCCATTCCATTCCATTCACTTGCAAGATAATAGTATGAGTATAAACCTGACTAAGAATACAGTAAATAAGTACGAATAAATGGAGGACAATAGGACAGGGATGGTGCACTTATGCACGCCCCTCTTAGGAATTGGGGTGAGGTCAATAGTGGGTAGTTTACGGTTAAAGTTTTTGTGGGGGTTAGAGGATGTAACAACAGAGTCAGGTAGTGAGTTCCAAGCTTTGACCACTGTTGCTGAAGTTGTACTTTCTGCAGTCAAGTTTGGAGCGGTTTACATTGAGCTTGTATCTGTTGTGTGCTTTTTGCATTGTTGCAGTTGAAGATGAAGTTAGTCATTGACCGGTAGGACATTGCAGCAGATAATTTTGTGTACCTTTTTTTTGTGCGTGTATTGACGTGAATCAATCTAACCTTTGCTCTTGGCTTCTGTTAAAGAAAGTTGCTGCTACTGTTTTGCTAATGGTTGGCAATCCTTTGTTAGGAATTCATTCTGCAGGAGAATTGTATCCTTTTCTATCTGGGTTTCTCGCCTCTGCAATTTGCTTCAGAGCTAGGCACATCCTGGGAGACCGTTCCCAGGAACATCCTGCTCCGTAGATAAGGGAGCGGGGGGCTGCCTAGGAGCACGAACACACGAGGACAAGGGATCCTGTGCAGGGATGGGATTCAATTTTTTTAACAGCCGGTCCTGTGGGCGTGGCTAGGCTGGTGCGGCTAGGTGGGCATGGCCATGTGACTGGGTGGGTGTAGCTTTTTTCTTTTTGGAGCACTCCTCGCCCGCTTTTGTTGTCTCGTAGGCCTCAGGGAAGCCTTCTGGCAAAGCCGTAAGACAGCGAGGGGGATCCCAGCACGGCTGATCATTGGAACAGCTGATCGTCGGGAGGGGAACCAAAGAAATACCTTAAGGAGTGACTGAGTGGGGGAGAAGGCAGTCAGCGATGTCGCGCATGCGCAATAAGGACTGACTGGGCTGGAAGGGGAGGGGAGGGGTGGGCAGAGGGGGCGGGGCCAGCTGAGGGCACGATCTGCCTGTTGTCTGAACTGCATAGAATCATAACAACCGGTTCTATAGAACCGGTCTGAACCGGTTAAATTCCATCCCTGATACTCCGTAAAATAACAAAGCATGGACAAACAACGCTCCATGGATAAGGGCTGGGGGGGCAAGGGCAAGACATTGTCCCCATTGAATAATGAACCTTCGTCTCTGATTGGGTCAACTTGGTTTCTAGCGGTGTAAAATGTATATAATACTCTGAGCCATTCTCGCAGGGTGTGGCTATTCCTTACATGCGTTTTGTCTGTGTGTTTTTGGATATGGTATTCACCCAGACTTTATGCTTTGGCCAAAGAATGGCTAAAAGGGAGTACTAATACCACTCTATAAATCGTTAGTAACCATACCTAGACTCCTGCATCCAGTTTTGTTCACCACACTATAAAAAAGAGGTTGAGACTCTAGAAAAAGTACAGAGAAGAGCAACCAGGAGGATGAGGGGACTGGAGGCTAAAACATACAATGAACGGCTGCAGGAACTGGGCCTGGCTAGTCTAGGGAAGAAAATACCAGGGGAGACATGATAGCAGCCTTCCAATATTTGAGGGGCTGCCACAGGGAGGAGGAAGGGGTCAAGCTATTTTCTAAAGCACCTGTAGGCCGGAAAAGAATTAATGGATAGAAACTGAACAAAGAGAGATTTAACCTGGAAATAAGAAGAAACTTTATGACAGTAAGAACAATCAACCCAAGGAACAGTTTACCCTTGGAAGTTGTGGCAGCGCCATCACTTGAGACTTTCAAGAAGAGATTGGACTGCCATTTTGTCAGAAATGGTGTAGCTTGGGTGGGGGGTTGGACTAGATGACCTACAAGGCCCCTTCCAACTCTGATTATCTGTTAAATCTGTTAGAATAAAAAAAAAAGCTGTTTTTTTTTGCAAGCCTCGTCTCCAGTCTCACTCTCTTTGGCATCTCCATGGCTCTGGGAAACTTCTGGAACCTTACCAGTGGTGGGATACAGTTTTTTTTTACTACTGGTTCTGTGGGATACCGCTAAATCTCTATTTCTACCCAACTGCTGACGGAAGGATACTGCAAAATCTCCATTCCCTCCCCATCCCACTAACCTGCTTTCCAGCTCCGTTCTCCTGTGCAGGGCAACCAAAGGAGACCCAGCTGATCAGCTTGGACTTGAAAGGCGGAGAATACGGGGCGGGGCCAGTCAGAGGTGGTATTGGACGGTTCTCCAAACTACTCATAATTTTTGCTACCGGTTCTTCAGAACCGGTCAGAACCTGCTGAATACCACCCCTGGACCTTACACTACAAAGGACTTTAAAGCAACGTTCCACAAAGATAGCCGCTTTAAGACTTGTGCACTTCAACTCCCAGAATTGCTCAGCTGGCATGGTTGGCTGAGGAATTCTGGGAGTTGAAGCCCACAGATCTTAAAATGGCTGAATTTAAGAATCACTATTTTAAAGCAGAAGTCTAAAAATGACAAGGGATGACACAAATTTAGTTTACTTTATTTCACTGCACCTCATACAACAAAATTAAATACCATCTTCTGTGTACGTTATGACCATGAAAATAAACACAAACGCGTATCATTCACATTCTATGCAATTGAATTGAAAAGCCCTGATATTGCATTCATATTGCGCTAGACAGTAGAATTCAATGGAGTTACTACCTTGGGATAGAAGCTGTTTTTCAGCCTATTTGTCCTTGTTTTTATTATCCGGTACCGTCTGCCAGATGGTAATAATTAAAAAAAAAAAAAGATTTCCCAGGATAAGATGGATCTTTGAGAATGTTTTGAACTTTCTTAAGGTAGCGGGAGCTATAAAGCTCTTCCAAAGAGGGGAGAGGGCAACCCATGATCCTCTGGACAATGACTTTAACCCTCTGGAGTGCTGTCCTATCTGCCCCTGTGCAATTGGCAAACCATACAGAGGTGCGGTATGTTAAAATGGTCTCTATGGTGCAGCAGTAAAAGGTCACCAGCAGTTTTTCATTCAGTTGTTGTTTTCTGATAAGTCTCAGGTAATCTAATCTCTACAAAAATGAGCAAAATGG